AGCAAGATTTACCCTTCAAGTAGTCTGGTCCTAAATGTTGGTGTTTCGTCGTCGCTGAACTTTGTATTTTTAGCATATCTGGGATCTCACGTCTCTGGTTGTTTGTGAAAACCAAGTCCAGATTCTCGACTTTGTGCTTAAACTTCAATATTATTACTTCACAAGTTTGTTTATTATAGAAATTGGGCGCTCACTGAGATCAGAGGTACTCTAGGATCTAGAGTTAAGACCAAGCTGATGTTAACTGCAGGGACTTTCAGGCCCCACAGTAACCTGAATCACTGAGTAAGCCAATCAAGGGAATAAACTCACACCAAAATGCAAGAAGAAAACGGCCGAATCACAACGGAACAACTGCACACATAACTGCGAACTGAATGCGCCCAACGAACCAACTAGACACAGGAAATTGAGACCGCGTCAGATCCACAAAAGAACAATCAAACAATGCAAAGACCGTTTCCAGAAATACCAGATACTGTTTAGAAGCTGCATAATCACAGGCAGAAGAGGAGGAATTCACCCACTCAATCCAAAACTGACGATATCACTTCGATTGGTGATGAAAAATCTGCAATCCAGCTACCAAGCGCGGTGACCAGACCAACCACCAAACTTTCAGAAGGAAATGTTTGATCAACTCCACACTGCGCACTCCACTTTCAGAAACCTCTAAGTGTGAGCGTTTCAACAGAATATCAATACTCATATTTTTCCGGGAAGGTTTTGGCGAAACATCCGAAATCGTTCCAGGCTCTCATTTGACCGCTTTACTGTAGGTCCAAGTCAAAGCCTCGTACTTCATTGTTCTTCGGCTTTCCTCTCAAATCCGATACTCTCACGGCATTCACCGTGTTTCCAAACGTTCCAACAATTTTTCATTGAACAACAAACCGGCTTTACACTCCAGAGAGTAGAAAATAAGGTGGCTTTTCATCATCCCCTTCCTTGGATCCTAACAAGCGCAAAAACTGAGGAAATTTGCCTTTCTAGGAATATTTTCTGACCTCCAGCATCTGAATAGTTCTTAACACACCTATATATTTGTAGATGCGGTTTCGTGGAATGTAATAGGGTTTTGCTCAAATTCCATAGTTTGGTCGGTAGATACATTCTAGAAACACTCTTCTGGTTACCAGTCTAATGTCTGCATCAACCAGTTGACCTTTCTGGCTTCATCAATTAACTTTGTGATACAAACATTTGGAAATAAAACACTCTGTGAGCCATCTGGTGCTGACTCACTGGTCTGTGTTACCAGAATTCAACTCCCTCTTGGGTATTTTCTATGATTGTCATCATAACTCTTACGGGTTAGTTCCATTTCTGGTATACACATACCAGATTTTGTCTCTGTGATCAGCGACCCTTACCAAAGTCTCAATCCACGTCTTTCGCATCTAAAATCCAAGTAAAGGTTTTCTAACCAAAACTTTCTTCTGAAAAAGTAAATAACGCCAAAACGGCCCTGTGTAGACGAAGGCCACTCTGGAATTTTTATTTTTTGCTCTCGGTGCGTCGCACTGTACCAAATGGATATTTGCTCTTTCGGAAGTATTTGCACAATGGAATGGAATTTTCGAGAGCTATCACGTATCCCTGATGGACCAAAGCAATCGAAACCTGAATACAGAGTAGCAATTCAAACGTTGGAGCCCCATTTATTCATTCCGGGGTCTTAACGATGATGGAAAATTATTTCCGCCGTAGGTATGATTGCTTCAGAGGACATTGAAATTTGGTGAGCTGCAAGTATATGAACGAAGATGAGAATAGGTTTTGGTTTGAGCACATACGCAACAAAATGCAACATTTCAGCGTAAAGTGTTTTACTCCACTCCTAAAGTTTCGCAGCTAAGAGCATTGTGCAGCCAATGGGCCCCGGAAGGCTTTTAGTTGAACCTCGTTCCTTCCAGTTGATTAATGCGCCGACTCTTCATGTACAAGCTAGACACGTAGCAAATTATTCCTTCAAAATTCCTCCACTAAGCGCTGTTGCAATCCAGAAGTTCCAAATGCTATGCTTATCCTGATTTGGATGAGTCTTACTCGAAGTACTAAGAGCCTAATGTGAGCCTAGCAATCACATTATTCGTATTAAAGTTTGTAGATCAGTCGTGCGAGATATTCAAAAGTTATTTCAAATGAATTCCCATATCTTTGCGTTTAAAAATCTGGAATTAACTGAACACCTCCCCGAAGAGTTCACAGGTGAATGTGACTTCCATAAAAACTCGATAAAAATCCACTTGGTAAGAGATGTGGCTCAAACTGGTCACCAGGTGTAGAATAGAGGTGTCAAAAAAATCCACGCACGTCACCGTCTTTTGTTTCACAACCGCAGGATTACGCCAGTATACATTCATTGTGCATGACGATTATACCGGTGTAACGGCGATACTACTAGTGGGAGTGGAATCGGAGTAGTATGTTTTCGCCTAAATCCGATTTGCGTTTCTTCAAAAGTGAGATTTATTGCGGAATTTGTGGTGTAGCATTTGTAAACTGCTCCTTTTCATGCTTAGCATCGTCTTCCTTTTCCCCATCAATATCAGTCACATCACTGTACAAAAGTTTGTTATACTGAAATACAACCGCTACAACCCGCTTTTTGGGTCCAACGTGACTTTGAAACTTTTGCTCAGTGATTGTTGTCGTGACCACCGGTTGGCTATAAGTGACTGTTACTAACACTAAACATGAACAAACATTTTAGCTACAAACACTGGACTTATATATTCACATTTGTGGATTAATATTCCGATCACCGGAGATCTGGAATAACAGGAAGATAGAGCTTTTCTTGGTGTGGTGGTTCAACGGAATACGGAACTACGGAATCTCCTGTCTTGAACTGTGAGTCAAGATTTACTTGGATTTTATCCTTGTGACTTTGTATCTGGCTTACATTGGTAATTTGTTCTGTTCGCTAGAGACTCCATAAGGCCGTTAACCACTACAGTAGAGTCGCTTTGTAGCATTCGCTTGCAATTGTGTACCAGTCAATGGATATCCAGAAAAGTTCAGAAAGACGCGTTCAAGTAGAAGATGGATATTTAGTTTTGGTAAACAAGATTCATATGAGAGTTTTGCTTCCCTTTTCAATAGTCTGTAACTGTTCAGTTGACATTTTCTAATTGATAACTCCGCAGCGAAAACCCTCTTCCTTTTACAGTTATCATGCTAAACTAGCAGTTGAATCAGTTACAAATTAAGCAACACCTCTGTGTTTTAGGTGGCAAATTCTGAGACGACACCGAGTGACAACTACTGTAAAATGTTGTATCATCTTCCGTCAGGGCAACTTCTACCGTTGTGAAAGCTACTTATATCGTTCGCTACACTGACGATAAAGTTGCATACACTCCGTTTTCTTAATGAATAGACGGGTGTTGTAAATCGGCCTACACAAGCACAAAACTTTTTGTCAACCTCTAAACTTAAAAGTCAGCTAGCTAAATTCCCGTATGTTTTTAGAGCGTACTTGTTTGGCGCTTGTGAGGTGTGTTCCAGAATTCAAGTTTTTCAGAACCACATGCCTAATGAGTTCAATTTGAAAAGTGCAACCTTTAACGACCAGCTCTGAAGGTTGCTTTGTGATCTGTTGGGAGATCTGTGTTCAAAAATGTTGGTCAGAGTAGTGAGCCAAATGGTAATCAGCTCAAGGCACCAAAAACGCTTTCATGTTGTGCTTCGAAATTTGGGAGTCATTGTAGTGATTCGGTGTAAACCATGTGATCAAGAACAGCATCTATTATACACTCAGATCAAACAGTTGGAGGCATGCGGTGCTAACCTTGATGATAACTGATGATCTCTCATTTTATGGTTCATGTAGGTTTCTAATAGTCAGACTTGAACAGTCACATCAAGATGGAGTCTGGCAGTAGAGTAAAGCCAAAACTATCTAGAATTCATGCGCCGCTCTTAAACAACAAAGATATATAAAAGACGTAGACTAACCCTGACAACACACTTGAAGTTGTCACAACGTTGAAGGAGATGTTCTCGGTACGAAATACAAATGATACAGCTTTACAAACGTCGAAGCACAAAAACGGGGGATACGTTCCTGAGCTGGCGGAAAATTTTTTCATGACGCGTCCAAGCCACCTTTCCGCTGACGCGAAAACTTCCGTGAACTCTAACGCTGACGGTCGATGAGCTGCAAATATTGACACGACGAAATTGCTTGCGCCTGACTAACCTCCATACTTCAGCGACCAGTGTGCACAAGCAACGATTTAGAGACTGAAAAAGCATTTGTAGTGTCAACACACATGTTGGGTGTTAGAAGGATTTGTGTATCTGTCTGGATGCGTTGATCTACAGCGGCAAGGACCCTAAAGGTTATTCCAGGCAAGCCTGCGAAGAAGACTTCAGAAGTGAAGGTCCTGACAGCCGACAAGAGGAAGAATCGAAGGAGGAAGGAGAGCTATGCCACCTATATCTACACGGTCCTCCGCCAAATGCGCCCGGACATGGTATCACCTCGAAGGGTATGTCAATCATGAATTTCTCCGTCAACATCTTTGAGCGCATTGCCGCTGAGTCCAGCCGGCCGCCTCAGCACAACAGGTACTCGACCACCTCCAGCATAGAAATACAGGCTGTTGTCCGTCTTCTCGTCCCTGGTGAATCGGCCGTTTTCTCCAAACGTTAGCGACCAACGTGCACAAGCAATGATGTAGAGAATGAAACCGTCTTTGTGGTACATATTTAAAGGAATGTCTGCCGACACACAAGTTAGGAGCCAGAAAGATTTATGTATCTGGCCGTTTATTAGTATTTTCATCATAATCGGCAAAAAAACTGCTCAAAATGAGTGCAGTGTGGTGAAGGTTAACAAACAACCACTTCTTTCATCTAAAATTACACATTTCAGGAGGTATTAACGCGCATGTAGTTCACGCCGGTTTATGAATGTAAATGTTGCCGCACAATGCAAAATTGGTCACATACGTTTCTCTTTTCTTGATTATTTCTGTCACCTCAATATAAGTGATCTTGTTTGTTTGAAATAATTCAGTTGAGAGGAATATGATGCCCCATTGAGATCACTTCGTGGCCGCTCACTGGTCCGTCCCTGTGGTCAGTCCCTAAATGTGTGTGGAGCCCAAAACTACTCGGTTCACTGCCTTCAACCTCTCTTGTCCGAATTCCCCTAGCATTAACATAAGCGCCTAGACATTCCGCACAAATTCCCGGAACTTCTGACAAAGCTTAAAGGTGCTGCCCTAGGACTAATCCTTGGTCAACATGAATTTGTCATCCATTGAAGTCCTGAGGCACCCTGTTTGCCTGCAGCGCAAAATTCACAAATACAACGAGAAAGCGCTTCAACACATTTATGATTCAGTTACCTCGCTGGCGCCTCGGAGCTCACCTTCCAAACTTAGAGCGCCACACCTCCGGGAGTCCGTATTGCAACGGCCAGGCACCAGCTGCCATCAAAAATTAGCCTGAAAGTATCACCTGATTCAGCTCGTAGAAATTGGTGCTCACTATTTGTCAAAACCTGATGAATATATGGCCTTTATGAATGCAACTTTCATCTAACTTAGAGGGGTAAACATGTGGAACAACATAGCCACCTCTAGTGTTACGGAACCGTCATATCAACCAAGGGAGACAGAACAATCGTTCGAAATGTGTAATTTCAGGGCCCTATACTTTGAACGGTATTGATCTTCTGTCACGTGAGTGCATGGCCACATCAGGTTTGGAAGCGCGTTCTGCTGCCTCCGACATGGAATGAGCACGTGTCCGATCATGGATCATTTATAGGAAATCTAGTAGTTAACCCAGGATTTACCGAACCGCGCAACAGACATTCGCACTGAAAAGTCGTATTAAAACAAGTCCTGCTGTATTCCTCAAAACCCTGAGTTTTTGAATTAAGTGGAGCATGAGCGTATTGTATTCCAAAAAAATTCGGACGCAGTTGATCATGCTGTCTCTATTTCATGTAATTGAATACATTTCGATAATTCATGAATTCACGTGATATTTACTCACTTATATTGATGCCATATAATGCCCTAGAGTACTTTGTAGACGTCAGTGTATAAAAACATTCGAACATTCGGAACACCTGGTAAATTGCCACAAATTGGATAATTAATGACGCAAGTTATAATCCTGAGTCACGCCGACTCAATGATAAAAATACGTGGAAGTATCGTTAGTGCAAATGTTGATAGTGCAAAACTATCCTGGGAAAATATGTCGTTTTGGTTCAAGAAAACATCTTCTGGTTCTAGTTGCATGACAAAGATGAAAACGACGTGCGTCATATATTCATAGATTGGGCGTTTAAACTCAACCAGCATACCATCTGATTTTGCCACGCGCTTGGGCATGCGGCAGTTTATGACATGGCTCTTGCTAAAAAATCTGCGAGCGTCCTAATCACGTAACTCACATGAGCTCCGGTCATTCGCATTCTACAAAAATAGGGCTTACCATTTTAGCAATATGAGTTAATACGGCCAAGTATGTGAGCAACCGAAGCGTTCACATTATGCAACCATGTAACGGATCGGTGGAATGAGGTTCCATCATTTCCGAATGCTTGCGTACTATTTACGCCAAAGCATTTTACCGGCACGCGGATAGCTCGGGAAAATGATGAAGTTGAATGAAAGCATAAGTTGAATTAGCTTCAATCCACAGGCCTGTACTTAAACTTCATATCAACAAAGGGGCGCTAATTTCTAGTGTTTGTCGAAATGATCCGATAAATTGGACATACACAAATTACTGTATTGGACTTTGAATGATCTGCAGGAAATGGGAAAATATGCTTCAATAGTTTCAGACGAAGAGTAGACAACTTCTGCTGGTTTGTCCACTAGTGTAACGGCGGACGCCACTGATGAAGAACGCTAGTAGTAAGTTGTTTTCTCGTAAGTCCATTTCGCGTCTTTTGAAAAGTGAGATTTGTTACGGAATTTTTGGAATCGTTTTGTAGCATTTTATACATCCAAGTGATAGTCAGTGATTACCCAGGAAAGTCAAGGAAGACGCGTTCATGTAGAAGATGGGAATCCAGTTTTTGTAAATAAGAAGCATATGAGAGTTTTGCTTACCTGTCCAATAGTGTATGACTGTTCAGTTGATGTTTTCCAATAAATAAATCCGCATCAGGGGTCTTTTTTCTTTTATTTGGTGCCGTAAAGATAAGGATGAGGATCCCGTAGCCACAACGCTTTGAGGATGGGGATGTTTGGACTTTTCTGCAGGACATCTAGGAGGTTGCAGGGGTCTGTAGACTGAATACCGGCAATGACAAGTTGGTGGCGTTGAAGAACTTTGTCAGAGGCCGAGCGAAAGCTGCGCTTGGTGCGGCCCGAAGGGACCCTCGAGGGATGGACTAAGCTGCCGCGAAGGGAGCCCTTTCGACACGACAGCCAATTACCAGGAAGCCATGAGGTGGTCCAAGACGGCTAGGATTGCACCGTGTTGTGACCCGACCGTGTTCTTTGCCGGACTGCAGCAGCCAACGGATCGTGACTTTACCGGACTGGACCGAATGTCGCGCCAGCGGTTGTTGCCTGGTCAGTTCGTCGAAGTTATGCAGCCGGCGACTCGTATCCAGTTACTGTTGGCGAGAGCAACTGGCCAGTTGAGTGTGGAGCACGTGGTGCATCTGGTACGGAAATTGTACAAGACGCCACTGGCTACGTTGCAGACGAAACAGAACAGCGAGGATTCGCCAGTGGAGGACCTGCGGACAAAGATGGGACAACAGACATCGTGCAGTCGTCAAAAAGGAATCGCGTTGGCACGCTTGAACGGGCGGATGTTACAAGTGTGACGCGCCTGATTACTGGAAGAATCAATGCCCTCATACCCGACAACCTGTAAATAATAAAACTTTGGATTGCACCTCCATTCCCCGATGGATTGCTCTTAGCGCAGTAACAGAGACCCCCACACAGGCCATCATCGAGATAGACGGGAAGGTGGAGCTTTGCAGGGGTGTCACTGAGCCGGAGAGGGGGCCAAGCTGAAAGCAGACCGTGCATACCAACCGTGAGAGCAGTAGGTGGACATTGATTGAGGATTGACAAATTGTTAATGCACTACATACGCCTAGATGGCAAGTCCGTAAAGCACGCGTCCCTGATCAGCTCAGACATAAAGCAAACAATATTGGAGGCAGATTTTCTCAAGAGCACCAATTCCGTGTTTGACCTGAATCAGGGAAAGCTGGTGACAGGGTATGGCGCAGTCAAGCTTGAATGTTATCCAAGCGCTGCCGTGAGTAATCTGAGTGTTCCAAAGCTTCCGTCTTGTAATGTAGCGTCAGTAGAGTTATTGGTCCGGGAATGTTCCTAACAGTTCACGGGCGATGAGGATCCTTTCGGCTTCTGGCCGTCAATTGGACACTAAATTCCCCTGTCGTCAAAACGCTTTCGAACTTACGGCACCCGTCCGTTGCCGCCCATTCTGCGAGAAAGGGTCCGTAAACGGATTCAAGGGATGATGAGAAATGGCATAAAAGAAGAAGTCAATAGTGCCTATAATTCCCCAGTTGTGGTTGTAAGGAAGGCAAACGTAAAATACAGGTTTTGCGTGGATTTCCGATGCTTGAACTAGCTGACCGTCAATCGGGTGGAAGCTGTCCCTTTGATTGCGGAGATTTTCGGTTCCCTTCAGGATTCCCGATATTTTACGGAGTTTGGCTTGCTTTCCGGATACTATAAAACACTTATCAAGGCGTGGGGCTGAAAGAAAACGACGTTTGTGTTTGGGGCTACAATATCAATTTAAACGAATGCCGTCTGGTTTTTCTGGGGCACAATTCAAAACCCGGCGTTCGTTGCTGTGTATGGAGACAATATCGTTGTGTACAGTAACGGGAAACCAGAGCACGCAGTTTAATTGGAGTCCGTACTGAAGCGGATGCTGAAGGCTGGAATGCAGACTGTTGGAGCCGAGGCACAACTCGCTCGAGGTTCGGTGAAACTGCTGGGGCATAAAATGGGTCACAGAGAGGTTGGGCCACTACCAGAAATAATAATGAAGATCGAGGACTGTGATGTTCTCACTCCAAAGCGGTCTTCACGGCAGCATTTTGGACGAGAAGCATACTACAGCCGATTGGTTAAAGGTTTCAAAACGATCGCCTCTCCACTGTACGACTTGCTCGGGCAAAATCATTTCAAAACGATCGCCGCTCCACTGTGCGCCCTGCTCGGGCAAAATCGGAGATTTGAACCAAGGAAGCACATGAGGCTTTTGAGCGTGCCAAAGGGCGGATGTTGGGCCAGTAGCTGACCATCAGACTGCCCAAAAACGTAGAGGTGTTTACTGTCGCAACAGACACTCGTTCTCGCGGAATCGGCGCAGTGCCAGAGCAGAGGGATAGAGTTATCGAATACGCCAGTCGTGCCCTGACCAACGCTGAACTGAAGTATTCGACTATTGAGAAATAATGCTTAGTGATCTTCCGGACCCTGGATAAGTAAAGGCCATATCCCGGGCAAAGATTTCATGTCGGAACCGATCGCAGCTCCTAGAGCGGATCAGGACCACCAGAGATCCTCGCAGAAAGCTCGCGCCCTGAGCACTCCGGTTGCAAGAGCACGACTTCACGATCCAGTACATGTCAGGTAAAGAGAATCACTTGGCTGAGTAGCTGTCAAGATCAGAGGCTGAAGATGAGGCCTCCAGGTTCAGGATTAAGGGCAAAAACCTCGTCGTCGAAAA